CCCCCCTCCCCCTCGCCACGGATGACTCGTGCACCCCAAACATGCTTGAGAGTTGGCCTCAGATACGTTGGTCCCCGTTCGCTCGATGCCAACCATACGTGACCAGTACCAGGACATGAATCGCTACATCGTGTGCGCCCCACGCTATTCCTGTTACACCTGCCTCGGTTTTTGCCATGCTTGGGCCTGCCGTAGCACCGGCCGCGGCGAGTAACGCAATATCCGTTATGAACGCCCCCCGCAATGCCCCCCCCCAAGAAATACACAAAGAAAAAAACAACGGTGATGCACAAAGCTTTGAGAAAGCCCCAGGACTGCATCATTTTTTTGTCTTCGGCCCTGTTGCGCCTGTTTTCGCCTAATTTTTTGTGGCCACCCCAGCAGCACGCGCAGGGCAATCCAACTCACTGACAATTCCTCGCGTTGTGGCTGTTGTCATCGTCATGACTGCCGTTGTTGTTCAATGTACTGTTCATTATCCTAAAATCGAGGACCACCTCCTCGGTACTTCTGCCGATCAACGCACGAGTCGCGCTGTGGCGAGTGTGTCGATGCGCAACGCGGAAGTGTTACATGGTACTGCTAGACTCGCTGAGCACAATCCATGGTCCTTGTTCCGACCCTTGTTGGCGGAAGTTGTTATGTAGGCGGGGTGTACTTCCCGGGGGTGAACCGCGCAAGCTTTCCCAATCACAATTCTCCTCCTTCTTGAATGGTCTCGTAGATGTTGGTCAGCCCAAATTGTGGTTTTCAGCGCCATAGACCTGAGGAAATAATTGTAAGGATGTTTTTCCAGGGCCTAACCCAAATGGAAACGAGACCAATGCCCCCAGAACCTTTTCACCTTCAGGCGTTGTTTGTCACCCCTCTGTTCTTTGAGAACGACCGAGGTGGCCAGTGCACAATTAGAAATGCCCCCCATAGGGCATTCACACAGAGCTACGTGATGTGTACGAGGTCACTGTGCATACGCTTTTCAACGGGTTTCTTGTTGGTAAAACAAGGTCAAATGATAATGTGCATACTCATTCCCTGTACGTGCGTGCACCGGATTATGTGCACACACCAACAGTTGCTGCCACACTACGTCGATCGTTAGGAGCTACAGTAAGAGATCACTAAACCCCGCTGGGGTAGAGTGCTTTTTGTTGCGTTTGTTATGTTCGCGTATCAAGATCAAACCCCCAAAGGTTGACGCATTCGTTGGTGTGCCTCTATGTATGTTCGTCTGCAAGTGACTATCGGCATGAATTATTGCATGTCCAGAGTCTCTTCCGTGCGTTAATATTGCTTGAATCTGTTTTGTAACAGGGATGCCCAGCAAACGTTGATGGCCGAGTACCGTGCACGGCTTGAAGCTGGGGGCAAATAAACACCAATAGCGAACGGTTCAAGCAGTGTCATGTGGCAGGACGTTGGAGGGAACATTGGGTGCCACACAAGACCGACAGGAGGGAGTCAACTGCTGCTTGTCACTCGCGGGGCAGAAGTTTCGCCGAAGGAAGATGCTTTCGTTGTTGGGTTCTATCGACCCAGTCGGAGTTTCACAAGGAAACCATCGTCTCTCCCCTTGCTACCGGTGTGTAATCGAGTGGAGGATTGCCGTTTCGTTGGCGTGGATGGGTGCAGTAATCACATCATTTTGTGGGTTCCACCCACTTGAGCGTTACTATATCAAAGTCCATGCTCGTTGGTGGTGGGAATGAATGTGTTGTCCTCACATTGACTGAGAAAAATCCAGTATCTGCCCAGTATCTTCCGACACCTGTACTGGTCAACTGACCCCTGTTCCGTGTTCACTGGCGAAATAACTAGCTAGAGAGGGCATCCTAATGAAATCAAAGGGAAAATCCTGAGGCTCTTAGCTTCAATCTCATCGAGTCCTGTCCGCGGGTGGATGTCTCGTCTCGATTCCCACCCTTGCCCAGCAGGGTCTCAACTGCCGATCCCGAGCCATGCCGCAAATGTTGCCACCTCTCAAGCATGGCTCGGTAAGGAATTGTAAATGATGATCCCTAAGTTGCATGAGTTTTTGCCTCCTGTGGCGGGACAAGATTCGAATTTGTTTATTTCGCAATGTGAATAGTATCGGACCGGGTTCAGGTTCTCGCCCCACACAGGGGGTCGTTCTTGCAGACGGGCGTGCGTCTTGATTATTTCGCAATTGAGCATGGGTGATGTTCTGTGCAGCTGTCCCCAGCGCATTCATCTGCGTATAGTCTACAGGAGCACATCTCTAGAGGAGCCGGGGCGGACCCGGGGCGTTTCTCGCGTTTAGCAATGCGCATCTATCTCCCACGGACAGTAGCGTTACTATTTTTTCGAGGTTCACATCGATGGATTCTTGTGCATCGTTCGCCCGCGCCAAGTGTGTTTTTTGGTCAATGAGAGGCAAACAGTGTTGTATCCGGGTGCCGTATGCATATGTGATATGGTATGCTGCTGCCCTTGCTGTTGCTGGAGCATTGGTGTGATAGTTTCCGTAGGACCGCTGCATTTCGGTTGCTTTTGTCCTCAAGGGTAACATGATGTGTGTAGCCTGCTACGTGTACGACTCTGCGTAGGTGTGAAATGGTCATCATCCCCTCCTGTATCTATCAATCGTGTGTGCGCTGTGAGGTGTGAGCGAGCGAGTCGACAACGCAATATACTATTTACAACACGTTCCACAGCAACAAAACGACTCTAGGCCATGTCCACGGCGGCTGAAAGGCGCACGCCCTCTGCCCTTTTCTTGTTTCACCCTCTCTCCTCTGTCTCCATTTTTGGGAGAGCAAGGAACAATGGTTTACGCTTCTTTCTTCCGCGCTCTTTCTCCGGGTATGCAAACGAGAGCACACTCTTAGGTCATGTTGAGGTATGATGGTCGTGACACAACACCCGCGGACACTTGTCGAGAGAACTAGACACAAGTGCCGTCTTCACTCTCTGCTGTGCCCCATTAGTCTATGGTAGACGCTTCTTTCGGGCATGTGCGATACATCGTAACGTGCATCATTGAAAGGGCGATGGAACGTTCGTGGGTTAAACGTGGGAGACATCGCACACACCTTAGACTGACCGATTCTCGTAGTTCGATTGGTCCGCGACCGACCTGTTGCCAATGGCGGAAGCCGGACAAGGGTGCCATGGTCTTGTTGGAAAATCTTCTTCAGCATAGAGCATAGAACCTGAAATCAAACCATTAGACTACCGTATATGACACAAGATAACACACCCCCTGTACCGATTTTCAAAGCTCGATTACTCCACGACGAAGAGGACGCATAAACGAAACGATACATTTTCGAAAAGCTCTCGACGAGACGGTTTCAACGCCGCCGTTTTCGGCGCTGTGACTGTTCCTGCAGTTGAGAAATCGAGCCTTGAAAATCGGTCATGGGGGTGTGTTATCTTGTGTCATATACGGTATGCGTCAGCGCTGGCTATTCTAGACTACATACGGTTTGATTCCGGCTTCTACGGAGACCGGAACGGTTAATCCGACGATAACAGCAACAACAACAACAGAAGATTGTCCGTGTCGGGTTCGTGAGCCCCGGGCACTTTCACATCCAAGGAGGGCTACTATCCGTCCAATGTCTATTTCGCGTAGTATCACTAGCGACCCATAGTCTATCCTGCTGAATGTTTTCGGGTCTCAGACCAGTCCTTCCGTCATCGATACTCTGGCCAGGTAGGAGTATCGAGAGTCTCAGAAAAAACAACACTTCATTCCTAAGTGTCCAGTTTTTTCACTGGCACGTACTGTTGACACTTGGGGTCCTTCCGGAAGGCTACCCCCCAGGCTGGTGGTGCGCACGTTCCACTATTATTTATTTATTTGTTTCTGATTCTTTTGTTTTCTTGTATTTTATCGCTCTGCTAACCCTTACAAATATTCGCACGCAAATGTTTGTTGTTGTTGTTGTTGTTGACTTCACATTGAACCGTATGCCAGTTGCTAAATGCCAAAATCTAGCAAAGACTCTCGGCCCGTGGTCACGAAAGTGCTAGAGCCATCTGAGGATCTAAAGAACACGCACACGTAGCAAGAAAAAGGTGTACAAGAGCCCGAAGAGGTACTACTACACCTATATATATATTTTGGAAACATGTGAAGATTCCTTTCAAAGATTTGGTGACCATAAACATGGGCCTAAAAAGTGAAACAAAATCTTTATCCGCAAATGTTTGAAAATTTAGACATTTTTTCAAAGATTTGGTGACCATAAACATGGGCCTCATACGCTAAAAAATGTAGGACACGTCTCACCACGAAAAACGGGGGGACTGTAGCCATTATAAATCGGACGAAAACACACACACATCCTATTTTNCGCCCGCAGGGAAAGGATGGGCTGCTGGGAGTGCGGTACATAGGATCGCGCCCATTTTTGAATTCTCCGCTCCGTGCATCGTAATCTACCCCCCCAACGCTCCGGGATTCCTATTTCCCCATAACTTGGTCGGCACCAGAATACCAAATTGGAATTTCGGCGTTGGAATTTGTTTTCCGAGGGCGGAGGATTCCAAATTTGGAATTTTCCCATAACAATTGGCCTGATTTATGGGCCTCATAAGCTAAAAAATGTAGGACACGTCTCACCACGAAAAACGGGGGGACTGTAGCCATTATAAATAGGACGAAAACACACACACATCCTATTTTTGTTTTGTTTCCCCGCGGCGTCGTATGTGCCGGGTTTTGAGACCACGGGCTCCCCATTTTTTGTGGACTGTAGAGCTACTGCTGTGAGAATNGTCGTATGTGCCGGGTTTTGAGACCACGGGCTCCCCATTTTATGTGGACTGTGGAGCTACTGCTGTGAGAAACAACAACAACAACAAACATGAAGCAATAATAGACTAAATGTATGATTTCGGCTTCTACACACCTTCCGCCCTGTGTTGGTGGTTGGCGAGGCGAGAATCCAACGCATGATTCCCAGCCTCAAGAAGTGCGCTGTCCCTCTACCGGCAATTCTACAGTGATCGCTTCGTATGCATACGCTACAGAAACGCGTACGTAGCCCTGTACCTTGAAGTATCACACGTCGCATTGAAGAAGGTTGCGGAGCAAACATTCGTTGATCGGGGGCCGCCCGCTGCAGTACGTACTGCCGTGCTTCATCAACACACTAACCATGTACGCGCACATGTAGTCTAGTCTAGACTAGTCATACCTCCCATTTCTTCCATTCCGGCAGGTGAAGGAAGAAAAGGAAGCAGAGGAGAGCGAGGGGGGTAGTTGGCGGCGGGTGAGATTCCTCAGAAGTGGGGTGGAATGCTGCCACTGGGATGACGCCTTTTACTGCTGCAGGATGATCTTCCAGCACATACATATCACGAGTGTGTGTGAGAAACAACAACAATATCACGAGTGTCAGAATCCTAGCGGCGTGGTACCCACATGCATCAGGCCCATGCATCATGCATGATGCATCGCCCACGTACAATACATTCGAAAACATACCCCCTGCCGTTGCGAGACTGTCATACTCCATGAAAATATCGTATGGCATGTTCTTCGTGACTGCTGACCTGCTGCCAACCAACCGAAAACATTGAAAACATCAACAAAAATGTTCGACAAATAACAAAAATAGGAAAGCTCCGCGCTCTCAAGCTGCTAGTGACGTCACTAGTTGACAGGATGTCAGCCAATCAACATACCGGATTCCTCCAAGTTCTATCAAAGTTCGATAAAGCTTCCTTCCTGCGGCTCAAGCGCTTCACCCGCAGTTCACTCCACCCTCTCCCCCCTAGACTACTCGAAACCGGCGCGTTCACGAGCCATTCACATCACACAACCAATAATCCGCGCACCTGGCCTTCTCATCCAAGAGCCTTCCTCACAGCATCATGTCGAACTGGAAAAAATGTGAGAAGACAGAGAGAACACGCAGCAGGCACATATCAGTGGCGCTTTGTCGCTGCGCTTTCCTACCCACCCCATTCTCATCCAAGCTTGGCCCATGTGGCATACAGAAGATCGATCGGTAGCTGGCTCCAATCTCCCGGTTTGTCACCTTGTTCGGATTCCCTTCTGTCAGAGCGTAAATTAATAGTCGTCTTTTCTTAGTCCAGTGGAGAAGGATGTATTATCCACACGGCGACGCTAACAGGGAGTGGCCTACGAGCGTGATGGCTTTGTGGAGGCAATGAAAGGTGTAGACTAGACACCATTATGACAAACATGTCGTAACCCACTACGGCACCTGGATTGACACGAAGGAAGATGCGCGTTATGTGGATGGTGTTGTGCCATCTCCTAATAATTTCGCATCACGAAAGATGATTCCCACACACGCTCAGCTCTTTCCTTTTTCTGTGTAAGAGAACGCAGAGTGGCTGTATCCTCGGTGTTTTTACCCTTTGGCTCTCTCCTTCCATCCCTTCTGTGGATTGCTCTCAGACCTCGGAACACATAGTCTACACACCTCCCACTTACAACATGCGCATGAAACATTTCGGTTTTTAAAGATCTGGGCACCGGCTGCCGATGCTTTTTGGCGCGGACCGCGTGCGTGTCTTTCCAGTCATGGCCGACTGAAAGTTCGCTGCATGCAGTGATGGGCTGCAGTAGTGCAGCGCAGCAAGCAAGCCCGGCACCACGCATAACGTCTATCGTACGTACAGCAGGTGGTCCGAACAACCCTTGCTTATTGTGTGGAGTTGTTTCTTGATCTTGCTCACGCAGATGAAATGATGCCCTCCGATGCCAACTTCCATTTTACTTTTTGATCCACGCGGATTGCGCATAGACTATATCTTTAGTAGAGAGATCTTGTTGCCACTGCCACAAGGTCCGCCACGAAAGTGGCCGGGATGACTCTCGTTTTGGCGACAACAGCAGTATATGTACCCTGGCCTAGCTCAACAACTGCAGTAAACAAGCGTTTTTGATTTCCTCTATATCAAAGTCATTTGCCAGGACCACCGTCACCACCGCGTTACAAATTGTATGGTGTCACGTTTGGTTTGTTTTTTTCTCCCACCAGTGGACTCTGTTGTCTGCCTCTCTGGCCCCTATCCTCCACTTCTACTACTATCTGAATGACTCAACTGGGGTCACATAGGAGGGGGGGGCTGGACCCCCTCCTGCGGTTCCTGCCTGAGATATTTTTATCGCGAGAAGGCGACAGCAATCCCTTCCCTCGCGACTTACGAAGTCGATCATGGTTTTGCTAACAACGAGCTTTGCAGCGCGTCGCTTTCATCCTAGACCAGGATTTTTTTTACTGAGAAAAAAACTCACTCTGCCGGGACTCGAACCCACGACGTGGCCCTTCGCAGGCTGCGAGATTACCCACGAGACCACCGGGGCGCAAGTGTTTTCTGCGGTCTGTGTAGTGATGCTCGAATATTTTGGGTCTGTATTAGAAATCTATTTGTTTTCCTAGCTCTGTTTTCATTCTCGCCGTGGTTTAATACCAAACACGTTTACATCTTGCGTAGTTTTTCGTCGAGAAGAATATTATTAATCGGGCACCATTCAAGTGGTTAATGCGTAAGGCCGAGGTTGATACTCCAAAGCTCTGAAGTGGTGACGTGGTGAATCGACCTGCCTTTTTTTTCGGCACCATTAGAGTTTCTCGGAGGTCAGCAGTCGTTCTCTCATCCGAACCATTGCATAGACCTTTTCAGTGATTCACGCGAACTTCAGAACGGCGGGTACTTAACACTTGAAAAAATAGTATTTTGCGACAACCAAATTTGTCTTGCCCGCCCCCATCGTTGCGAACACTAATCTCTGCCCGCCTCCCGCCGCCCACCCCCCGAACTCGTGTTTCTTAAAATTTAATGTAGACGACAGCTATGACGTGCCCATTGACCCCAAGCAGCAGGACAAGGCCACCACTCTCAAGCTCCACAGCTTCCGGCGCCCACACATGCGAGCCTTCCACTTCGCGTGGTTCGGTTTCTTCATGGCCTTCGTCTCCTGGTTCGCCTTCGCCCCGCTCATGAAGGAGATCAAGGGTGACCTCGGCATGACCAAGAACGAGGTGTACAACGCCAACATCTCGTCCGTGTCCTCAACTATTCTCTCGCGTTTCGTCGTGGGCCCCCTCTGCGACACCTTCGGCGCGCGCATCACCTCCAGCACTCTGCTGCTCATGGGCTGCATCCCTACCTTTTTCGCCGGCCTGGTGAACAGCGCCACCGACGTGGCCGTTATCCGCTTCTTCATCGGCGTGATGGGCGCCACCTTCGTGTGCACCCAGTACTGGACGTCGCAGGTGTTCGCGAAGGAGTTCGTCGGCACGGCTAACGCCACCAGCGCCGGCTGGGGAAACCTGGGCGGCGGTGTCACGCAGGTGCGTCGTGAGCGGGAACAACAGCAGTCCCTTGGTTGTCGTACAGGATTGCGTAGTATGGTGAACGTTTGTCTGTTGAATAAAGATCACGCTCACAACCAACTTGATATAAACTTCATGGGATTTTGCTCGTGTGTTGACCCGATACTCAACTCCAACCACACTCGGTCATGAGTGCATGGCAGCAGAAACTCTCCCTTCTCTGGAATCTCCAGAAACGCCACAACCACCACTCACCTGTCGACTGAAGGACGATTTCAATGCTTGCTCTCTGGTGCTGATACTGTAGTTGACCAAGGTGCGCTTTCCGTACTTCCTGTCATGACGTTCCCCTTTGGCTTTGCGACACCCTCCTCTAACTCTCTGCCTACGGCACCGATTCACAGATCTTCATGGTGGGAATATGGAACGGCTTCAAGACCAGCTACGACAGCGAGACGGCGTGGCGTCTCTCGTTCCTCGTGCCGGCGGCCATCGTGTTCTGCGTCGCCATCGGTCAGGTGTTCCTCGCCGACGACTGCCCGAAGGGTAACTACAAGGAGCTCGAGGCGCACGGCGCCATGACTCGCAAGTCCTCCGCCGTTTCCTTCAAGAAGGTGACCTGACGTTCTCAGTAAGTTTGATTCGCAAAGGACGGGAAGGTGGTTTCATCAGGCCGTGTTGTGTATACATCCGCTGTCTACGGGGGTCGATCGTACGATATTAACCTCGTGCGACAAACATGAGTCACATGGACGAAATACAAGATAATGATACATATCACTCGCACCGTCCCTCTTGCTTCAGGAGATCACCTGACTCCCCTGCCTGACGTACACAACCATGTGCCCTTTCGCGCTTTGTTTGATGTCCACCGAGCAGGGCTATTCGAACGTGAACTCATGGATCATGTTCGCCCAGTACGCCGCCTGCTTCGGCGTCGAGCTGACCGTTAACAACACCGCGGCCAACTACTTCTCTGACGAGTTCGGTCTGTCGACCTCCAAGGCGGGTATGGTGGCGTCTTTGTTCGGGCTCATGAACCTCTTCGCTCGGTCGGTCGGCGGCATCTGGTCCGGTGAGTCTTTTCGGTCGAGGCAGGTTCATGTGCCTCTGGTGCACCCTCATCTATTGCGCTTGGTTTTTTGTCTATTGCTTGCTGTTCTGGGTGCACCGCATATTTTGCCGTTGCGAACAAGCCGAAAATACGCGTATTTCCTTGTAAAAGGGAGTCGCTATTCGCTCAAGGCGTCCGTATGTAAGTTTTGGAAGCCCACAAGAACGTCCGCCAGGCAACCCAGCTTTGGGCATTGAAGTCTGGCCATATTTTTTGTTTAGTGGCGGTTTTACCCACTTAAAATGGTTTCACGTGCCCAAAGCACTTTCGGCGACACGTATACTTGTGTGATGACTGGTAAATGTGATGTGACCGTGCGACATGCTGGTTTCCTGACGCACGGCACAAGTTCCTTATTTGTTTCTGAAATGGTTTCTGGTTATATCACTTCCAACGCTCGTCTTGTTGGAAACAACTCCAATTGGCCCTACTCCTTCGCTGACCGCTTTCCCGCACCCAATTTCTTATCGTGTGTGGCAGACTTCCTCTACCGCAAGTTCGGCGCGGGCGTTACCGGCATGCGCGGACGCTTCTTCGCCCAGTGGTCTGCCCTCGTGTGGGAAGGCTGCTTCCTCTTCCTCTTCACCTACATGAATACCCTTGGTGCGGCCATCCCCATTCTCATCCTCTTCTCCGTGGGCGTGCAGATGTCCGAGGGTACCTCGTACGGCATCGTGCCGTACATCGTGCCGGACGCGACGGGCGCGGTGTCGGGCATCGTGGGCGCGGGCGGCAACTTCGGCGCGGTGATGTGGGGTCTGATCTTCCGGTTCGGCCCCACCAGCGAGAGGTCGGTGTTCCGAATTATCGCGGCGATCGTGATTGCCCTCTCGTGCACGACACCGTTGATGAAGATCCGCGGGTACGCCTCGTGCTTCGGTGCGCCCAAGGGAGAGCCAGACTCCATCGCGGATATCTAGAGTCTTTTAATGCCGCCGTCCGTTCATGTTAAGCTCCTTATGCAATGCACGGATATCTCGCAATGAGTAACGAAGAGGGTTGCATACAGCACGTTGAAGAACTGCTTGTGGCGCCGATACTTCTCGTCTTTGAGTTTACCGGCACTACTGATGGCATGACGGAGTCATGAATGGTAAATAAGGTTTGTGAATAGGTTTTGAAGGAGCGTGCTGATCTGTTTTTTTTTATGGTAAGCGAGTGAAAGTCAGTTTGGTTTCAACAAATACGAAGTTCAATTCGGGTGTCGACGCCCGCATATAAATACATAACAGTCTCGTCATATACCTCTTGAACATTACACGTGTGCGTTCTTACAGCCGCCCCATGGCGTACCACGCTCGCGTTTTGCTGAGGACTTTTTTATCGGGTCTAAGGAGAATATTTACGTCTGCCCTTGGTTTAAATAAAGCCCGCGCGTTGCGAAATTGTTCCATCCCACCTCACGTCTGGTGTAATAGTTATCCTTGTTGAGGGTGGTTGGTAGCAAAAATTATTGTTGGAGCTACGTTATGTAGCAACTCTCAATCGATGCTGTTGTCTACGAAGCCAAGAAGCGACCTCAAGTTATTGCGGACGTGACAACGCCTCATTCCTGCGCATACCGCGTATTGGATGTCATTTTCGATCTCATGCAGTATGTTGTAATGATCAGTAGTAGCGCTCTGTCCTGGGGGAATCATGGTGGTATGCTCGGCGGTAGTCTCAAAGTGAAGGTCATCCGTTTCAAGGGTTGTCAGCATCGTTTCCCGATCGCTGAGCGCTGGGCATGCATACCTCGATATTTTTTCTGGAAGGAGTTGAAACTTGCGCGGCTTCATGACTTTTCCCATTCTTGCTTGCATCGTCCGGATTATTAAGGGGCACGCTTGTGTGGGAGCGTACGTAGAAGAAACAGCAGGAAATGTTCGCGCACTGCGCCGCCGCCTCTGTTGCTGCTCAGATACTCATGATGTACGAATGTGATTTGAACGATATACAGGACTTCACACGACTGTGGTCAGCCATTTTTTCCGAGAACGTGCACCACATACACTCGTGTTGAGAGCAAAGCGAGGCCGGTGACACAGCAGTGCAGTCTTCTATCTGCGTTTGTTTGTTGTTTAGATCATATGCCCAGAGAGGGAAGTAGCAGGGTGAAGCAAAGAATTTCTTGACGTGTATTCGAACATGTGTTGTCACAATCTACGGGAACGGTGTCGGGCGTGCGTTTCCCGATTTGGGCTGGCCGATGTTGTTGGGACCGCAGAGAGATGGGGCAAGAGGGAGAAACAAGGAACTGATCGTTAATGGGGAACCGCCAATCGATGTTACGGTTCGCAATCGGGGCAGTGTATAGGGAATATAATGGTCCGGAAACCCCCCTGTTTTTAAAAAACATGACAAAACCTCGTTAGACCGCACTTGTTACGGCGGCCCCCAAGCAGGAGGGCAGCGACGTGCATAACAACAACCGGTGAGACCCAGAGGAAATACGCATGAGACGAGATATATGAAGTGTCACACCGTACAATGCACGACCGAAAGATCGGCCTGTCCTCCATCGACCGTTTTTTTTTCCTTTTTCGGCCGCTTTTTTTCCTCTTTCGGCCGCTTTTTTTCCTTTTTCGGCCGCCCCAATTTTTTTCGGCCACCCCATTCATTTTTTCGGCCACCCCAATGTGTGTGCCCGTACTAGCCCGTACAGGTACCCTTTTAACACCCACTCGTGCATCCTATGCTTGTTGCGCAAGATGGACCGGGGCTCGTCCATATATCTGTGTTCTTTGGAAGTAAATAACTCTATGTCTAGTCGCAGTAATGCACCGGTTTATCACTAGTCATCATTGAGAAAAAGAGTGCTATTTCACACCATACGCCTCCGAAGCTTCCTCTTTCGTGTTTCATCTCTCATATCGTCTATTGCCCGTCGTTCATGTCCGCGTCTACCACCCCCGCCTCCGCGCTAGCCCCTCCACCGCCAGGCCCCTCCTCCTCCTCCTCTTCTCCTCCCCGTCCCCTCCTCTTCCTCCCCCTCTGCTTCCCCCTCCTCCTCTGCTAATTCCTCGTTGTCATACCGCAGCTGGAGCTGGAAGCTGGAAGTTTTTTGTGTTTCTTTTTTTTTCAAGTGCGGAGACGCGGAGACCACCGCGCAAGTGAAAAAATGTTCGAAAAGGGTAGGTAGGTACGTAGGACTCCCCACAACATTGAATTTATGGG